CTGGCTTTTTATAACGACAAATCATCAAGACATGATGGCACTGAACCTGACTTTAGAAAGTTTGGCAGTAATCATTGCGCTCGCAGGATAAATATCTTATAATTAATGACGTTAGTTTAATACCACGTGTCTAAACATTTCCGTCCGTTAGTCCCGCAGACATATAATTTTATCTTATAAGTAGTATCAGGAGTGACGGAGCCGATGAAATAAATGACGAAGTTATGCATTACATTCCCAATTGCATGATGTTCGATTCATGTAACACGATTAGATACAATGTTCTGCAAAGCGTTCGTGTACGATTTTTGCAGATAGATAATATTAAAGTTTGTATGGTAACGGAAATGAAACTTTAGTTCTTATCGCCGAGGCCAAGTCTATTTACAGGAAATTCACACCGACGTCTGCCATAAGTTGATAAAGCACATTCAAATGGTAAAATATTAGCTAGCTAAAGAGCCTTATTGCTAAATATACCCAAGTGAATTAAACCTATTAAATTTTTCTATGCACAAAATTATAACCCACAAAATGTACATACATACATACATACATACATACATACATACATACATACATACATACATACATACATACATACATACATACATACATACACACACACACACACATACATACATATATATATATATATATATATATATATATATATATATATATATATATATATATATAGAGAGAGAGAGAGAGAGAGAGAGAGAGAGAGAGAGAGAGAGAGAGAGAGAGAGAGAGAGAGAGAGAGAGAACATGAAGTATTTTTATCCGCTGTTTGGTGGTATATATTTCTTGTTTTCTTTCAGAGGTGTCCAGAGTAATTGTATTTTGTATTGTTTTTGGGGTGGTTGTGTGGGAGGTTAACATCATTTCTCAGAACAATATAGTCAATACAAGGCTGCTAGTATAACTGGTGGATAAATGAAACTCGAAAAACGCCAGTAAGAACCATTGACCCGCGAAAAGCTATTAGCAAGCTTTCTCCTATAACGTCATCGGCCAACCATGAGATACGAACTCACTCGGAGATGGCAGTGATAGGTAAAGAGGAGTACATCGATTGTGGTTGAGTTTATTTAATTACTGGGTTGCCATGCGAATGTGTCTGATACTAATAAGTGCTTATATTCGTGAATTTGTTCCATCATTCTCGTGAATAGACAAGGTATCGTAGTTGGTGCGTACAAGGTATCGTAGTTGGTGCGTGCTTGTAGTTAAGAAGATTCGTGAACCGTAACAAGTAATCCATGGACCTGTGTTTGTGTATCAGTAAGAGACCAAAAGCCAATCCATTATTATACCGTAAATGACAACAGAATGTACCACCAGCCACTGTTAATCCAGAGTGGATAGCTACACCTGGCTTTCTCGATAACGTTCTCTCTTGTGGTTCAAGTTGCAGAGCAGATATTTTCATTCTCACCGGCAATGAAGGCAGATAGTACCAAATTGTGTACAGCTCAGGTCATCAGCTCAGAAACTGATGTCATCCACTGCATTATGGACTTATTTACTGACGACAGGATAATGGTGATTGTGCAACGTTCTCTGACTTAAATCTAACTAATGTGCAGGTCATGACATCACACCCTCCATACCCCCGCTACCACTCCAGATTGAAGTTAGTTTAGCTGTGGAAGGACATCTCACTTACTTAGGAACTGGAGTGACCAAAGCAAAGAAATAGTGACTAGAATCTGGTGTTCATTTTATCGTTTAATCACAAAAATGAAGCAAGCTCACAAAGCTCCAAAAATAGTGAATGACACCCTATGCACACGAGACTTGAATATTTTGGAAAAAGGATACACGACTATCATCGGCTCTTATGCACCCAAGATAACCAATCCAGATGAGATCCAGGACATATCTTTTATAAAGACATGGGGTCTCTTACCTCAAATGTGTTAGACAAGGACAAGCTTATCATCTTTGATGACATCAGTGTTTGGGTCGGCGCAGATCACCAGCCATGACTAGGAGTCACTGGCAAAAATGGCTTCTGCAAAGCAAAAACAGCGGAATAAATGCACTCAATACGACCTCCTTATCTTTCGACTTCCAGACGCCAACAAGACATTTTGGTTAGGGGCCCCGAGTGGCCGAGTGGTCTAAAGTGCTGTCCGTTACGGATCACTGCCATCTCACCTCTGTTTGCGTGTGTTCGAGTCTAGGATTCGGCTAATGTAGATATATGAGAAAGCTTGCCAGTAGCTTCTCGTGGGTCGGTGGTTCTTTCCGGTGATTTCCCGGTTTCTTCCTCCACCATTAATACTGGCCGCCATGAATAGCCTATCGTGTGCTGAAAATGGCGTTAAGCCCAACAACAAAAAAACAAACAAACATTTTGGTTACACATGCTCTCCAAGCACTGGCATCTGACTGACTTCGTCTTCGTCAGGCGCGATGTCCGAGTGACGAAGGCCATGAATGGTACAGCATGCTGGACTGGTCATAGGTTCATAGTCTTACAGCATTCAGCCTGCCAAACACAATTTAAAAATATGACATGAAGCAATCAGTGTCTCCAGATTGAAAAACGAGACCAGGAATCAAGCGTTTGCTGGAGAACCGCGCATAACACTAGGAACAACTCACGCGAACTTCGAAAATGTTGATGGTAACGTAGTATTTTTCTCCTTCTACTTTATTTCACCAAACACCCATCGTTTGATGAGATTGATGTCAACAAACGGAAACATTTTGGCTCTATAATTCTCTTTAGTAAACAGTGTTTCGTGTAAGAAAGCAGCCTTCAAAATCATCAAGAGGATTGTTCGTTGCAAATTCCCAGAGTTGCTAGGTCCATGACTAAGCTATAAAGCAGATGAGATTCAGTTCTATGTATTCAGCAATACATGGAAAACTTCAATAATGCTTTGAAGAGAATATGTGGACCAGTCATTTGAAATATCTCCAGTACTGAGTGTTGACAGATCTACACTGCTCACTGACAAAGATAAATTACTATAAAGAATAGAAATCACTTGAACAATATCTTCGCTGAACATTTTCAGGCAATTAATGAACTGCTCCAAGTGGAAATACATATCTCTTGCAGATCCACCAACTTTGAGTGAGAAATCAATATGCCTTCCATCCAATGGCAAATCAATTGGAGAAGATGCTATACAAGAATATGTTTACATATCCAGAGGCTTCCAAATGGCTTGGAAATAGACTGAACTCTTTCAGTCAATACAGAATCAAGGAACTATCCCACAGGATCATAAGGATACATTCAATGTCCAATTGTACAAGCGAAAAGGTAACATACAATCCTTTAACATCCATCGCAGCGTCTTCTTGCTGTCAATAGCCGGTAAAATTTCGCCACAATTCTCGTCAGCGTGATATACTCTGCCAAACTTACAATTGTCTCACGTATCTTTTAGACTAGGAACGACATAATGTAATAGATTCATGGCAAGCTCTTCAATCTCTTTGACAAAAAAGGCAAAGATGAAGCTACAGGCACTGACCATTAGTTACATCATATCTGTTGAAGTCTTTTCCATGGAATGCTAAATCTGAGTTTGACATGTAACACAACTGCGATGATTTCTCTGCAACTTGATGCATTTTGGTCTCGCAATCAGTAACAAGATGACAGAGGTGATGCACTAACCTTCACCATGAAAGCCTTACATAGTTTCTACCATCACAGTCAATAAACAGAACCTCCAGGCAGTGTACCAGCTCAACTACCTGCAATCAACGTCGATGTCGAAAACCAACGCCAGAATTGCCAAAGCAAATGGATTACGGCAGATTACGTAACACCAGTGTTCGAGCGTAAAGATATCAGTCTACAAACAAAACAGAAGTGGATGTTTTCCCATTCCTGCTGCATGCATGCGAAGCCCAGACAGTGCACAGAAGCCTTTCCAAGAAAATGTACAACAAGCCTTCCCTTCCAATTGATTTGAAATTTAAATGGATAGCAGCAGTAAATTAATATGGTTTCAAACAATTATAAAATGAGACACATAATTGAGGCAAGATGGTTGTATATGTGTGTGTTTTAGTAAGTGTGTATTTGTGTGTGTGTGTGTGTAAGAGAGAGAGAGAGAGAGAGAGAGAGAGAGAGAGAGAGAGAGAGAGAGAGAGAGAGAGAGAGAGAGAGAGAGAGAGAGAGAGAGAGAGAGAGAGAGAGAGAGAGAGAGAACACATTAATCAATTCATGACAAAATAATTATCGTGACTGACAGAAGCTGGACAGTAGTACACAAACCAAAATGACTTCAGCTGATAAGAATTAGGAAAATCATGTTTTCTGGTTAAAATTAAAATTAGTTGTAATTAACTGAGCAGAGAAATCAAATTGCAAATGCTCTCTAATAATATCATGCGTTTCGCGTCCTTAATATATGTTTGGAACAAGTCAACTAAATTAATAATAACGTTCGCTGTAAAGTAAGATGATCCGGATAGCAAATTATTTGTAGCTGCTGATATATGGAGATGATTTAGGTTCTGAACCAATTTTAAACGCTGTTCATTACAGTATTTCAAATAAGGATGTAATGGCATGCATTTTTATGTTATTACCACAATTGGGCTATCTCGCAAATGATTAGAATATGTATCATTATGTAAATCACTGAAGTTATTTCTAATTCTAGTATACAGAATGGATAATATCTGTATGGGTATGCACTTGAACCCTTTTGTCTCTTTTTTTTCTAAAGATGGAATAGTTACTTTGACTTTTTAATTAATTTGGAAGTGATATCCAAAATATGAATTTAACAATTGTTTATGACTGAGTTTCTGTTTATTTCGAGCCAGGGATTAATGCGATTAAAGTTATTCCTATTTCTAATGTTGTACAGGTGGTAATAGGTCAGCAAGGTAAAGATAAACTCCGTTGTAATAAAGCAACATAGATTACGAACTTTTTTCCTATCTGCCAATGTAGACCAACCAGTTTCTTTATAAATCTTGCGACACGAGTGACTTCTAATTACTATTCTACCCTGGGCCCGAGTGGCTGAGTAGTCTATAGCGCCCAATATTACGGATCACTTGCATCTCACCTCTGTCTGCATGGGTTCGAGTCTCGGTCTCGGCCAAAGTGGTTACGTGAGAAAGCTTGCCAGTAACTTCTCGTGAGTCGGTGTTTCTTTCCGGAGGTTTCCGTGGTTCTACCTTTACTATTAATGCTTGCCGCCATATAGCCTATATTGTGCTAAAAAGGGCGTTAATCCCTAAAATAACAACAACAATACTCCCGCCTTCTCATTGTCGTTGTTCTAATTTGAGATATCTTTTGTCTGAACAACTATCCCATCAGAAGAGTCTAATAAGAGGTGGACGTACACACACACACACACACACACACACACACACACACACACAGATACTAAATTCGTCCTCAACTGAGTTTCGAATGGCACCCATCGCCTTGCCTGCATGCACCAACCCATATACCGTCACGACTAAGAACGCATCACCAAAAATATTATTTCTGCCCACTATTATCAAGATTCTACAACAGAATTCAGGGATAGCACAGTCTGTTCTGTCTGGTATATATATATATATATATATATATATATATATATATATATATATCTATATCTATATATATATATATATATATATCTATATATCTATATATATATATATATATATATATATATATATATATATATATATATATATATATATATATATATATATATATATATATATATATGACATTGATGCTCTTGCAAAAACGGAGACCAACAACACTGTTCCCACTGAAACTAAATGGGAGTTTATTACAACGTTATTAAATTAATAAATTTGTAAAACAATTTTTACAATAAACTAAGCACAATGGTGTTTTCCTGCTTGTTAAAAGCCAAGCTTTTCATGTAATGGTTTTTACATTTAATTTATATTAGTTCACACAAACACACCATCCTCCTATTCTGGCCCGGCTCCTCTGTCAAATTTTAGAAATCATTGTGGCCAACGAGTTAAAATGTTTGCCCACCTCTGTGTTAAAGAGTACGCAACGGATGCGGGAAGTCGTGGGTTCGAACCCGTCCAAGTCATATCAAAGACTTATCAAAATGGTACTAACAGCTGCCTCACTAGGCGCTCTGCATTAAGTGGTTAGTGTTAGGACTGTTCGGCCTGGTATCAAAATAATGTGATCATCTTTTATGTCTGCTGCGTGATGCCCCAGTGATAGAGATCATTTTAAACTGCCACACTGCAGTCATCGTAGAGATATGACTGCAAAATTGTTAAATTTACGTCAAACATTCAACACACACACACACACACACACACACACACACACACACACACAATTAATAGCTACTTTTTCCATACTGTCGCGCTTCCTGCTTGTTCTGCAAAGTGTGCTGTGCTAAGTTATATACAATCTTGAGCAAATGGAATATACCACTATGTAAATGCTTCATTTACATCAACATATGCCCCTATCTTAGTTATTCATTCTATACCTGGTTCAAAATCACGAAATGTTTAGAAATTCGCATATTATAAAACTATACTTATGTTTATTACTGGTGGCATATTCATAATGCATTAGAGTAATTAATAAGGATTCCTTGTGATCACTGACATCTGCATCAAGAGCGATAGTTGTAGAATGAAGAACATCTATGGTTTGAGATTCAAAAGTAGGATCGAACAGAATTACAGAGGCACCTGCTGCTCTGGAGGACTCTGTGATTATATTATGCATATTGTTAAGCATTATTACTTCTATGAGACCCCTGGACTTGGCACTGCGATGGTTCTCATTTAAATCATCCGTAATTATATTATCTCAGAAAATGAAGCCCCACTCAACGGTGATATAAGAACGAGTCACAGAAGTATGACAACACAGAGGGAGGGAGCGGTAGATTGCAAGTAATATTTATTTAACACCTTTTCCATATATTTCTATCCCTTTATCGTCAAGATTACGTTTCAATAGATTGGTACATGATTTGAAAATCAAATTTTCTCAATTTTAGACTATTACACCTCATCCATGATTTGTTCGATCACACCTAATTGGTTTATGATAACAATCTGACTTTAGCTCATTGTCAGCAATAATATTATCTAGATGAGTATCCGTAAGTGAAATAACGTCAAAATCATCAACATTTGTAGTAACGAAATCTAATTTATGGCTAGCAGATCTAATCCAGAAATTTACAAAGGATAATGTCGTCATCCGTTGATGACGCAGTAGCAGGATCTCATCTGTATGAATCGGATGAATCTAAATCTGTTACAGATATTGGTCCTGAATTCAATGTACCCGGATATTATAAGAATTAGGAACATCCATAATATAAAAAAAACAAATTTGGGTACATTGTATTCGCGAAAGTTTTACACCTTAGAATACTTTTATCCTATCTGTAATACGACTGATACGAAGCAAAAGCTAGGATAACTATACACTGCAGCATATGAACAGTACAAGAAGAAGCCAACCAAACATTATTATGACTGTTTCGTTACCATATGTAAAGAATGAGATTGATAAAAAGCGTCATTACAATTTAACCTTTTCTTTTTTTACTTTGTATAGATATATCTTTATGAAGGAAAAGTCCAATTCCTATCCTATGTGAAATATTTAAATAATAAAGCAGAGAAACAAAAAACCCAGGAAAATATGAATGTAATATAATTTAATTGTTTCTTATAATTCAAATGAGCAGTCTGCAGTGAAAATTGTATAGAATTCAATTTAATCGATAATAAGATTTAAAACAAGAAAGTAAATGGACAAAAAAAGAAGAAGAGAGAGGAATGAAAATTTATTGAAATTATTATAGATGTAACTGACTGATTATTTTTCATGATAGAAAAATAGATAAATAATTAAATAAATTATAGGCTAATGATATTTTGTTCTGAATACATTTCGACATTTATTGTTTTATATTTAATTTGCATTTCTTAAAATTTGTTATATATATATATATATATATATATATATATATATATATATATATATATATATATATATATATATATATATATATATATATATAATTTTATTCCATTATATTCCATTGTAATGCAACATTGTATGTTGGACTTAATCTTGTCCAAAATCAAGTTCTAATTGACTTTTTTATTCTGTAAACAACTAATACGTGGCTAAATATTATCTGTGTATGGGTTTAATATTATTATCATATTGTTAATAGAAGTAAGCATGTTTATTTAGGTCTGGGTTTAAGTTATTTGAATTCCACTACATATTACATGGCGTACATGACATAGATAAAGTAATACATTATAATTTTAGTTACTGATTTTCTAATATTAACTAACATTTTGTTTTGTACACATCAGAAAGTTATTTTCCTATTAGTAATTTTTTAAATATAGAAAATGTTAATTGCGACCTGAGTTCAAATAGAAGACTATATAATCTTGTTAATGGAAAGATTATTCATTCGTGCTCTTAAATTCGAGCAGAATCTAGATATTGTTGTGCGCAATATTTGATTTGGAATTATTCAAATGATCTCTTCTTTGGAAACACAAAAGTGCTCCGATCACATTATTGGAAATGGAGACTTGAATTGATAAGGATTTTTTCTTGGATTGTATTACTGTGATCCAATAAAAGACTGCTGGCACATCAGCGCTTTAAAAGTCATCACAGGCACATCGACTCTTTCAGCGTTGGAATTGATTTTCATTTCCTCTAAAGTTTATCGGATGACAGCTGGTTGGGAGGAAATACTCAACAACTTTGAATTTAATGAAGAAAACTACCTACAAATCAATGGAACTGCAATGTGTACTAAAATGGCCCCTTCGTATGCTAACATTTTCATGGGAAAACTTGAGGGTCAGCTCTTAGCATCGATTGAGCGTACACCATACTAGTGGGTACGCTTTATAGATGATATAGAAATGAAGTGTCAGTATGGAAGAAAAAGTCTGGATGACTTCATATCACAGGCAAACAACTTCCATCCTTCAATGAAATTCACGGCAGAAATTTCCAACTCAAACCATATTTTCCTGGACACAACAACCAGACTGGTGGAAAACACACACAGACATCTACTCGAAACCAACCGACAAACACCAGTATCTCCTCCCAACCAGCTGTCATCCAAAACACTGCATTAAGAACATTCCATATAGCCAGGCACTGAGGATACGCAGAATTTGCTCCGACGATGAAAGATTCCTAGAAAGGTCTGAAGAGCTGGCTAAACATTTAATTTACCGAGGCTACGACAAAGACCTGATTGCGGAGGCAATCCAAAGGGCCAAACAAACAAACCGTGATGACCTACTCAGATATGGACAGAAAGAAAAGGTTGATAGGATACCATTTATTCTGATCTATCACCCAGACAATCCCAAAGTAGGTAAAATCATCGCAAACCACTGACCAACCGTGCAATCGTCAGACATACTAAACCTAATACTTCCGAACAAACCTGTAGTAGCTTACCGGAGACCAAAACACCTAAAGGACATCCTAGTCAGGGCAAAGCTAACGCCAATCGCTAGTCAAAACCAACCTAGTCAATCTGGACCCTGTGGCGATAAAAGATGCAAAACCTGTCAACATATGATAGAGACCAAGACATTCACTAGCACAGTGACTAAAGAAAAACTAAACATACATGGTCCAAACAAAACGTGCAAAACAGAGAATGTGATTTATCTCATCACATGTAAGATCTGTGGCCTTTAGTACGTCGGAGAAACTGAAAAGCTACACAAAAGGATAAACCTTCATAGATCTGATTGGATGACAAAAAAGCTGTACAGAAGCCCGGTCGCAGAACACTTCACCTCCCCGGGCCACACTTTCAGTGATATAATACTTATCGCTATTGCTAACAACCACAGCTGGAGTTCCGAAACCAGGAAGGAAAAGGAATCATACTGGATACGCCGCCTTAGAACATTGAAACCAAGCGGTCTAAACCAAGAAGACTAGAAAATGAAAACTATGCACTAGTAAAATTTAACATTTTCTAAATCTTCTTATTATCCTTCAATTTTTACTATAAAAATAACCGATATAGAATCAAATATCCGGGATATAATCTGCGTTACATATGTA